GCCTTGAAGTCTATTGTTCCCTCACTTGTCACGATAACTTTGATTTCTGCTTGGAAAACCTCGTTTGTCACTGGTTAACCACTTTCTTTGTTGATATCATCACAGAGAATACCTTTGACCCGTTCACCCAACATCCTCTATCTGTTGCATTGTTCATGAATTGAAACATACCAAACCTTTTTATTTCTCATGACCCCAAAGCATGTTGATTGCGACAAACTCAGTGCGCTTGTTGTTCTCTTCTGACTTATGACACTGATGTGCAATTGGAAAGCTGGTGGCAAATCTTGAAATCATTTCTCACTTGTTATGACCAAACAAACTCGGGAAGAGGAGGTAAACAAGACAAAAGGAACAGAGTAAAAGGCAAAAGAAAGGGATGATTCCTAACAAAAAAGCTACGAAGTAGAACCTATCAGATGTAGATACCAACTCTAATGACCATAACATGCACCTGTGGCCTATTCTGTTGAGCAAGTCTGACATTCAGCTCTTGTTGTACCCCCAAACCGTGAAACTGGGCTTCAATGTTCTGATCATCCAATCTGATTCACAATCCATATTCGACTTGTAGTGCCCGAAGGGTTTTCACCATCAAGCCTCTCTCATTTTGTTCTTTCTCTCAACTTACCGTCGCATTACAGTGCCTGCGAGGGTTTTCACCAACATGACTCTCTCATTCTGATTTCTCTCAGCTCCCATTGCCTTACGGTGCCCGTGAGGGTTTTCACCGATAAGACTCTCTCATTTTCATTATTTTTCTACTTGGACCAGAGTGTTGCTCATGGTATGAATTACTTCTCCTTGCTTGACTTGGCATTTCTCGAAGACTGATAGGAAGGTCTTTCTTTGGACCGTAACGTGGGCTTTTGAATGGGGTTAGAAAGAAAGGATATCAAAGGCTCAAAATAATTCAAACAGGTTCAAAATTACAACTTTCGGAATCAGATTTCTCACAACAACCACAACTTCTACCCCAGTTTCTTGCTTGGGGACTTTTGGATTTTTATTTTGATGGGACCGAACCGCGAGGCTGCCTACGTATCCTTAAAAGAATCAGGTCGAACATAGTTCATGTCATAGGAATTTCTCTGTTGTTGTGATTTTTCTTTTCTCTTTCTCTTTTCTTTTCTTTTCTTTCTTCCTTTTTCTCTTTTTATTGTTTTCTTTTTCCTTTTTTTTTCAATTTTCATTTTTTTCTTCTCTCCCTTTTGTTCTTTTCTTTTCTCCTTTTCCTTTACTTATATTTCACGCTTGTTTTCCTGATCTTTGCTACTGATTCCAAAATAGGGGTATGAAAGAAAATAGACAAGGCTCAAAGGGGTAACGAAGTATAGGGTGTTTAGATAGCAGAACAAAATGCCTTCGTCATTCCAATCTCCAGAACATGCCAAGTGCAAACTACACAATTAAACAGACCAATGAAAACATTTGTAACATCTTTTGATTTTACTAGACTTGATAACCATATCCACACATTCGCCTTCTACAGCTGTTAATTACCAAGCACCATTGGACAACACTCTCACTCTCATTACCACGAACGTCCCCCTACAAATTTGGGGCAAACATGCCATTATCTTCACCCGATACAGCATGATGCATTTCAATAGTGTATTTTTATGTTCCACCTGCCCCAGTTTCACACAATTTGGGCTTGAAGTGATCTCAAAATGCCTTCACTTATTTACCTCCAATATCCCTACATCTTCAACATTGTTTCGTTGCTTCATGACTAAACTAACTTTTTAAGACCAGGCTGAGAATTACGCATGCATGTCATGTCACTAGAGTCAACAGGAAAAGGACTGTAAAAGGAAAAGAGAACTAAACAAAAATGACTAAAAATAACAGAAAACAGGAAGTTGCATTAGACAGATGGTGAAAGGGTTTGAACAACAAAACAAGCAAACTAAACTGGGTTACAACTAGGGGTGGGCATATATCGGGTAAAACCGATAACCCGAACCGTTAATTACTTATTGGGTTATCGGTATTGGGTTATTGGGCTAATGGTTCGGTAACGGGTTAAAAAAAATTTCTTATTGGGTTATCGGTTCGGGCTCGGTTTATCAAATCTGTTATTGGGTAAACCGATAACCCAATAAGGGTTTACTAATTTACTAGTATACCCTTTAGTCTAGTAATACTAGGGTTTCATTTTCATTAGTCTGTCCGCCTCCTCACAGCCTCACTAACTCCTTTCCTTTCATGTGCTTGAAGTCCTCACTCCTTAGTTAAGCTCAAGCCCTCAGTGACAAGTTAAGCTCAAGCTCTCAGTGCTCAAGCCCTCAGTGGCATGAAGTATAGAGTCCTTCATTTCTAAGGCAGAAAAGTCCTTCAGTAACAAAACACTGAGGCTCAGTCAGTCAGTCAAGCCCTTAGTCCACAGTCCTCACCCAGTTCTCTGCCAGTCCGCCACCGGCCACACGGCTGAAGCAGTCAAGCCCTCACCAGTTCTCTACCTCATGACTCACGCAGTCACGCCCACACGACTGAGCCCGTCAAAACTCAGTTTTCTATATCTTTTTCCGGCAGAGCGTTGCACTAAGGTTAGTGTTTCATATCCCATTTCTTAATTCGTCTTAGTTTGGTATCTTAGAAATCAATTTTTGCATATTTTCCTTTTTTATGAAGCTCGAAAGAGTGGGGGTTACAAAAGAAGTTAACTAAATGGGAAATCGAAAGGACGCAGAAGCGGGACCAAACTAAGACTGATTGGTCTTAGTTTCCCTAAAATGTTTGGTTTCTTGAATTTATACTACACTGATTGTTTGGTTTCCTTTTTCATACTATACTGATTTATACTATAACATCATGCAAATTTAGTGGGTAACATCCTGAAAATTTGGTGTTGCACTGATTTCCTTTTTCCTTTCTGCTTGATAGTTGCTGCTTAGAGCCTTAGACTGAGTAATGTAGTGTTCTGTATTCCAATGTTTAACCAGTTTACAATAACCTGCAAACAAGCTCTAGAGAATTGGCATTCAAAGAACAAATGTTCAATTGTCTCAGGTGCACTATCACATATTGTGCAAATTGTGTCCTGTCTACATACCAGTAACCAGATCCCATGCTATTAATGGTGCTATGTTACTTATCTCTTTGAGATTGGAACCCCAACATACCAAATCAATTAAGCTTTGTTGCTTAAAATATGTGTTTCATTTTAGATTTTAAGCTAAATATGTAGTTATATGTGTTTCATTTTAAGATTTTGTTGTCTCGCTGCTTGATTTCTTTTAAATCAAATTCACAGTGACACAAAAACATGGCTGAAAATATCATGATTGATAAGGTGATTGGTGAAAGTGGAGCTTCTAATTCAAATGCCACATCACAATCTCAATCAGTTCAATCGAAAGCAAAAAAACAAAGAAAAAAGAGGTCTGTTGCATGGGAATATTTCGACCAAATTATTGATCCGGAAGGAAATCAAAAGGGTGTTTGTAAACATTGCAAAAGAGAATATTTTGCCGATTCAAAAGATAATGGTACGAAATCATTCCTTACACATATGGCCAAGTGTTAAAAAAGNTTTAACCAGTTTACAATAACCTGCAAACAAGCTCTAGAGAATTGGCATTCAAAGAACAAATGTTCAATTGTCTCAGGTGCACTATCACATATTGTGCAAATTGTGTCCTGTCTACATACCAGTAACCAGATCCCATGCTATTAATGGTGCTATGTTACTTATCTCTTTGAGATTGGAACCCCAACACACCAAATCAATTAAGCTTTGTTGCTCCATATTAGCACTAAAGATATTAGATTTTCCAGCATTGGTGCAGAGTCCTGATGCCTTTGAGAATGTCTTAAGCCCTCTTAGCAACAGTAATACTGACTCACTTGTTTACTGTCTATGTTGTGGCAGGAA